GTTATGATTAGGGTTACGATTAAGGTTAGGGTTAGTGTTAAGGTCAGGATTAAGCTTATGGTTACGATTGGAGATAGATTTATAGCTGATGTCATTAACTTTAATTTGTTCTATTATCCACGTTTTCCTGATAAGAAGTCGTCTATCCTCTTGCTGGAAACCATAATAATTCAACCGAGGGCTTTTTTGGAATACTGCAAGCAAGATGAGAGAGATAAACGATTCACAAAAGGAGTTTATCTGTAGTCCTCTCGGTGAATACATGTACAGAAACTAGTCTAATTTAGCAACTGATACTCCTGGCTATAACTAGGACGTATTTTTAAGTCATGTCAGAGAAAGGTAACCTATTAAATGTGTTTTCATGCATTTTCTTGTAAACATACGTCATTTTTTGAGCAAACATGCCTCATTTTTATGATTGGTCAGCTGAAGATCACTCATGCGTTCGCACTCCTTGGACGCTATTGTTGAACTTTGCCAACACGGCGATGTGTGTGTGGATGTACATAAGATGAAAACATCACAGATCATCCAAAGTAGGGTTTATTCAGTATTACTGACTACTTGTGTGAAAGGACTATCCAGTAAATAGTGATGACTACGGACAAGGTTTAGGTTAAAGTAAGAAAAGAAGGCTTAGTTGATGGGTTTTCAAAACTTCCTTCTTAAACAAATCAAGGATGTACCACACGATAATAGAGACTATACTATACCACACAATGGTATACATTACCCAGCCATACTACGCGATACTTTACCACATCAAACTGTACCATAATACTAATGTTTATCTTCTATCTCTTGTTCTAAGTAGTATAATACTAGCAAACAGTGTTGAATAAAGGCGTTATATCGATTGGGATGGCTACAGTGTGTATTACGCATTCTTAGCTAACGTCTTCCTTGAATAACAATGTTGTCTGACACGATTGGGTTGGAAAAGAGTTAGAAGTGATCACATCAAAACCTGGAATCAATCCACGAAGTTTTTCACTGTTGGTTCAGTTTGTAGCGGACTAACCGGCTAAGTTTGTTTATACGCGAAGGGAAATAAACAAAACCAATGCATTAATATATGTGTGGGCACTGTGGTAGTAAGTAATTCCATATTAGTTTGTTTATTAGATGTATCACACAATCATTGAAACAGTATTATTTACTGGATGATACAGTTTTCAACAAAATTTATTGTTCATAATCACTTCATCAATTATAATCAAACGACTTTGAAACTTGATTTTTATAGTTTTCTTTGTTTTCTGCTATTTGTCGTCGTTAGGGTAGTAGAATTTTCCAGATGTCTGGCTAGACAGGTGTTGAGTCATTCCTATTACACGTATTTGCAGTTGAAACGATAAACAAAGCTTCTGTTATCAATCTCGCCCTCCCTCCACCCCGCTGTTACTTTAGATTTTAAAACTGTCATCTTATACCATCCTATTGAATGGTTGTGTGTAACTGCATGTAGTGAGTGCTATAGCTGAACTATTCTCCAGATTTCTTATCTTATTCGGGTCAACTAATCTAGATTTAGCTGCTAGGATTTTGTGCTCCGCTAGTCCGACTGACTGCCCCGTTCTACTACTTTCACCTATGTATTTGACCTGACAATCATTACAAGCAGAGTATTAGATAAACTAGATTGTTTTGTTTTAAAGGCTCCACGGGATCCATTAACCAACAAAGCTTGCTTCTAATTGAGTTTGTGGGTTTGAATGCCAGCTACTTTTATTCCTGCCTTGTTAGGAATTCTCCGCCGTAAGGTTTCCGAGGTTCCTTCTTTGTATGGAATTACTACTGATGATTTAGATTTCTTATTGTTGGTGTTGTCATTATCTTGCACATGTTTGACATGCATGTAGTCATTAATAATATTATTATTATTATTATCACTATCGCAACTATCATTATTTATTATATTTTTACATTTCCCTACATACTTTCTAACTAATTTATCCGGGTAATTATTAAGTTTCAAGGCTTCTATTATGTGTATCACTTTCTGTCTTAGATTTTCCTTGGTACTACTTAGCTTTTGTGCCCTAATACTTAAACATTTCACCAGTCCTTTTTTATTGACAGGATGGGATAATCGGAAATCCAAATATATGTTTGAATGTGTGGGTTTCCTGTAAACACACACTAGTGTTTAACTTCCCATCTTCTTTCCTTTTTACGCTGAAATCTAACATAGGAAGTTCCATTTCTTGACTTTCCAATTCATAAGTGAATTGAATTGCTTCAACCTTCGAGTTTATGTGTTCGAAAAACCTATCTATATCTTGTGTTCTAAGTACAGTGAATGTGTCATCTACGTACCTCCACCATACTTTTCGGGTAGGAATGAACGTTTCTATCGCTAAGTTTACCCACCTATCCATGAGTATATCTGTCACAACCGGGAAATATTGGTGACCCCATGGCAACTCCCTCAGTTTTTTTGTATATTTTCCCTTGGAATTTAAATACTGTGGAAGTCAGGCCTAACTGCACTCCCAGCATTATGTTCTCAAGTGGCACTTTCGTCCTAAGTTCGAGTTATTGGTCAGAAATGAGTTCGTTTCTGACTGCCTGTATAACCATATTTATTGGTATACGTGTATATAAACTGACAATGTCAAAACTGACCATTTTTTCTACATCATCTAATTTTAAATTATCCAATCTGTGATTTTACAGGAAACCCACACATTCAAACAGATATTTGGATTTCCGATCATCCCATCCTATGTCAGTAAAAATAGGATTGGTGAAATGTTTAAGTGACAGAGCATAAAAACTAAGTAGCACCAAGGAAAATCTAAGACAGAAAGTGATACACATAATAGAAGCCTTGAAACTTAATAATTACCCGGATAAATTAGTCAGGAAATATGTAAGGAAATGTAGAAATAAAATAGATAATGATAGTTGCGATAGTGACAATAATAATAATAATAATGATAACAATAATAATGATAATAATAATGATAATGGTAATATTATTGACGACATGCATGTCAAACATGTGCAAGATAATGACAACACCAACAATAAGAAATCTAAATCATCAGTAGTAATTCCATACAAAGAAGGAACCTCGGAAACCTTACGGCGGAGAATTCCTAACAAGGCAGGAATAAAAGTAGCTGGCATTCAAACCCACAAACTCAATTAGAAGCAAGCTTTGTTGGTTAATGGATCCCGTGGAGCCTTTAAAACAAAACAATCTAGTTTATCTAATACTCTGCTTGTAATGATTGTCAGGTCAAATACATAGGTGAAAGTAGTAGAACGGGGCAGTCAGTCGGACTAGCGGAGCACAAAATCCTAGCAGCTAAATCTAGATTAGTTGACCCGAATAAGATAAGAAATCTGGAGAATAGTTCAGCTATAGCACTCACTACATGCAGTTACACACAACCATTCAATAGGATGGTATAAGATGACAGTTTTAAAATCTAAAGTAACAGCGGGGTGGAGGGAGGGCGAGATTGATAACAGAAGCTTTGTTTATCGTTTCAACTGCAAATACGTGTAATAGGAATGACTCAACACCTGTCTAGCCAGACATCTGGAAAATTCTACTACCCTAACGACGACAAATAGCAGAAAACAAAGAAAACTATAAAAATCAAGTTTCAAAGTCGTTTGATTATAATTGATGAAGTGATTATGAACAATAAATTTTGTTGAAAACTGTATCATCCAGTAAATAATACTGCAGTTTCTCATCTAATAAATAACTAATTTGCAAAACAAACACAAACTTGTGATACGGCATATACAATACATTTATTTGGTGAGTTATAATTGTCCCAGAATACACAAATAAGGGCGTACAGAGTGAAAGTAATGAAGTAGTCCTTTTGATCTATAACTGCGCACACCACGCAAGGGCATACCAACAGCCTGAGAGGTACTTGCGAATTGAAAAAGGAGATTGAAGCTTAAGATCTGGAACGTGGATATACGGATCAAATACGCGCCAGCGATGATTGGCAGTAGTGGAAAGCAAGAAGCTGGAGAAGAGAAGTTGTATCGTCCAGAGTGCGCAGTGAACAAGATGGTGTACTTATGCATCAATATATTTATATATTAATTAACACCCATAATGTGTAGTGATGCATTATTTTTACTGTTTTACGATGAACGTATCATTTGATAATTTTCGTCCTGGTTGAGGTCTTGAAGATACTTATAACACCAATGGCTGAAGATTGTTGTTGATATCTTGGTCGTTCTCAATGGCGCAAATCCATTCACTCTGTTTTTTTTCCTGTATATTTCTGCTCGCGGATTGGAAGAAAGGCTACTTTTTCAAACTGCAAATTGTGTGTGTTAGGTGTAGACTCGATGAACAAGGATTCAGTAATCAACCTCTCTCTTCACCTACCTAGATTACCTCTTAGAATTCTAACCCTCTCCCACCCTATTGTGTGGTTGTGTGTTAATGCATGCAGCGTGTTGCTGAGTTCCATTTTCTAAATTACTTATCTTCGTGGGATCAACCATTCTAAGCTTAGCTAAATTATTATGTTCCGACAATCTGACCACCCCGCCCTATCTACTAGTTTGACCTATGTAGTTGACCTCAGTCACAGTCATTGCAAGGTATTTTGTAAATCATATTATTCTGTTGAATTGGGTCAACCTACTGGGGCCTTAACCTACTGAGCTTGTCCTACCTGAGTGAGTTTGTAGGTTTGAATGCCACCCTAATTCCTGCTTTATTGAGAATCTCACCACGTAGGGTCTCAAATGTCTCCTCCTTATTGTAATAAAACTGTAGATGACTTATATTCTCTCTTATTTATGTTATCATTACTAGTTTTACAATTATTTTTATTTCGCTTTTGGAAGATCAGTAAAGGCAAAAAGCTTCACTTCCTGTACGACGTTCTATGCTGAAACTCTGTTTTGCCATAATACCTCATAGTATACCGCACAATACTGTAATGTACTTCACTGTGTTATATTGTATGCGTATTGTATTGTGTTTTTTTTTAATCTTCCAGCTTAACTGTTATTACTAATCAGGATAATCTACATCAGTTGAAATCATTTATCCTAAATATTTCACCAGAAATAAGTCTACTACATGAATACCGGGATCAAATACAATTTTTTATTCAACCAACAATCATCCATAATGTTATGAATGTATTATTCAATATTAATACAGAAAAAGTATTCAGAGAATGTGATGTCGTCGGTATTGGTATCTCTGTGACGTCATTAGAAGAAATATTCTTGAAAATTAGTAAGTACATTCATTGATCTATTGGGCTGTTAGATATTTGAATTAATACATTTATGTACTGCTTCATTACTCATCAAGAAGTACCTGGACAGCTGTTTCGTCCTAGTTTGGGACTCTTCAGTAGTAAGTGTTACATGACTTCTCCCGTGAATCCAGTGACCTATGCATTCTAAATTTTCCCCCTCACACTTTACGTAGTGGACTCCACTGATCAGAACCTACCAGTAAAGAACTCCAGGCAATTTCATCTTGTAGACAGGCGCCTAGTGAGCGCATAATCCACGCATCTGTTTTTCATGTGGTTGTGTTCTCTGAGCTGGATAGTTAATTTGCGAAGCTTTCATCACCCTACTAGGTGAAATCTTCAGCGCATACTTCAATTCATTGAAGTCAGATTTTAGATTTCTCCACGAGTTTATTAATCATCTCTTCCGGTGACCTTGGATGTGATTGGTTGTTTTTGTGCGTTTTCACACCTTCTAGTTTACACGTATTGTAACTGATTGTTTCTTTGAATTGGACTTTGACCCTTTATGTGTGAGGTTTCTTTCATATCGGTTGATAAATTTCGTCAATCTCGATGTGTCTATTGATTGATGATTCACTGGAATACCAGGCAAGCTTCTAAAAATTCTCTAGCATTCTTGTTGTTTCCTCTGTCTAATATTTGAACATTGTCCCAATCGAATTGATGCCCGTGGTTGTCTGTATGTAGTGATATGATATCATGTGGATATCATGTCTTTCGACGGCTAGCTTATGATCGTGGATACGAAGACGAAGGGGACGTCCACTTTGGCCAATGTAGTGTTTTTCGCAGTTGTTACAATTTACTTTGTAGATGATGTTGGTTTTATCTTCTTTCGCTGTTGAGTCTTTTGGTTGACATAGAACTGAGTGAAGTAATTTTGTTGGTTTGTGTGCGACGTCAATTCCTAAAGGTTTGACGAGTCTTGCAGTGATTTCTGAGATATCCTTTATATATGTCAGGGTGCTTTTCTTTATGCTTTCCTTGGGGGCATTTGGTTTGAGAAAACACAACCACATCAAAATCATCCACCTGAGCTACAAATCTTCTCCATCATATTCACGTATCTGTAGGCTATTTTGAAGTTTGTAACAGACGTGAAGTGAAACTTTTTAGAGTACCTCGCAAAGAAAGAGCATTGGTGTTGAATAACCATGAAGACTGGGCGGCATTCTTTTGAAGTCTGTTTTTAGAGATTTCTGTTATTTTTGTCCATATGAAGCCATTTCATCAGATATTGACCACCGCAACGTATGATGGGATGTATAACTTTTGGGGTTGACCTTTCTAACCACCCTGACATCCACAAATGCGAATGACAATATGGCTGGTTTTCTACAGCTACCCGCACTCCACCGTCGAATCTGATATGCAGTACACCTAATACCATAATAGTAACTGCTTTTAGTGTAACTACTATCCCAACCAACCTTTCTGGAGTGGTACGACCTTCAGGGACACTTGTTCCAGCCAGTATAACTTATTGGATCATTGTGATACGCAAGACTGACCACCACATCAAGCTGGTAGTTATCAGTTGGGTGTACGAGAGAGATATACAGGTGCAGGCGTTTTAGTACAGTAAACAATCCAGTGGTCGATTCATCATTTTAACACGTTTCCAATCATAAAAGTTAACACTGTAAGATGCATTACCTTATGCAAATTAGCAAGTGCAGCAGTGTTGGTGATTATTCATCTATCTGTCTATCTATCTATCTAACAGATGCTTACTAAGATTAGCAAAGTAGATGGCATTATTTAATTGAATTTTAGATTTTCCCCTCGATTGATTGAACCGAAGTGCTCGGTTTCAGGTTGACCTCTCGGCTTCTTGTCCAGATGCTTCGACAATGTCTGGGCATGTAATTAGAGGTTAATTGGTGGGTGGTGACTAGCAGTGGAATCAAGCCAGGATGCGCATTTCGTCCTATTTGGGACTCGCCATCTGGATGTACCTGCATTCATCACAGATGACGAGTCCCAAATAGGACGAAATGCGCATCCTGGCTTGATTCCACTGCTAGTCACCACCCACCAATTAGATGGCATTATCCTGAATATGGATTACAATTTCATATTTGATGTTTGGAGTTAGTCTTCCGAAGGATTATCCATTAATAAACTGATCTATATAAGAGTTCACACATACATTCCTCTATGTAAATTTGAACAAGTCATAAAAAGAAACAATGGTTGTCGTTATTATTATTATTATTATCATTGTATCGTTGGGTTCCGAGTGGAGCATAGAGCATCAACAGCACATCTTCATTTCCTTCTGTTCTCTGAAATTCTCTTTATCTTTTGCAATTAATAGTGTTCTCTGAGCTGGTTGGTTTAGTTGTGGAGCTTTCCTCCTCCCCCTGCTGGACAACATCTTCAGTGCAATATTTAGCACAAAGTGAAATGATTTAAATTTCTTCATGAGTGGTGATAGAATCGCGTCTCCTGGTAACTGTCTTTACATATGTATTGACCATTTTCTATTGACTTGGATTTTAAACTTTCTGGTCACCTGATTTACTTTTTATTAGTTGGTATATTTCGTCTATACTAACGCGCTTGTTAATTGCATTTTCGTTTGAGTACCAGGCTTCTAGGAATTCCCTGGCGCTTTTCGTGTTTCCTCTGTCTAAGATTTTGACATTATCCCATAATTGTCTATATGCATTGATACTAAAGAATACATATCGTATATTTTCATGGCTGATTTGTGTTCTTGGATTCTGATTCGAAGGGGACACTCACTTTGGCCCATGTAATGCTTGTTACAGTTCATACAAATTATTTTGTAAATGGTATTAATTTTATCTCCTTTTTCTGTTGGATCCTTCGGTTTGCATAATATCGAATTAAGCGATTTGACTGGCTTGTGTGCTATATCTATATCAAACGGTTTCAGTATTCTAGCTGTTATTTCAGAGATATTTCTCGTGTATGGTAGAATGAATTTTCTTGTGGTCTTTGATGATGGTTCTTTGTTGGTGTTTTAATTCGACTATAAACACTTTTTGATAAAATTTTTGTGGATAACCATTCTTTTTGAAGACCGTTTGTAGGTACTTTTCTTCCATTCTTTTCAACTCTGGAGTGCTACAATGTGTTTGAACTCTTTTAAACAATGTCGGCACACAGTTTCGTTTGTGAGTAAGTAATTGGATTATTGCTAGTATAGTTGAGTATTTGATCTGTGTGCGTTGATTTTCTACATACTTGTGTCTCTAAGTCTCCTGTGTTGGTTCTCGTGATTAAGACATCTAAAAATGGGATTTTGTTATCTAATTCTTCTTCTCTTGTGAATTTGATGTCATTAAATATGTTGTTTATTAATTTATGAGTATATTCTAAATCATTTCTCTTAATTATTACAAATGTATCATCAACGTAACGTATCCAGATTTTCGGTTTAATTATAGGTAGAGATATTAATTCTAATTTTTGCATAACGGCTTCAGCTATTAATCCTGATATGGGCGATCCCAGTGATGTTCCTTTTATTTGTTCATATATTCGAGTATTGAACTGGAAGTATGTTGTAAGGCATAATTCCAAGTGGATTATTGTGTTGGTTCTCTTTATCTGCTCATAAACTTAAATTCCCTCCTTTACACAATCTCAACACACACACACACACAACTCATCGTTTCCCATTCGGGTTCCACTTAATGGTTCTACCTAGCAAGCGAGAATGTCATTCAACATTCACTATCAGCATGTATCTAAGTCCATTTTCATTTCTTCATACATTTGGTTCCCTTGATAAATTTCGACAGGCAAAAAAAGAGACCAGATTTTCAGGACAAAAAAATGATATCGTCATCATTCCATTTCATAGGTTCTCGTCAGCTGTTGCAAACTACCTGAAATTACAATGGTTATAATTAGTGACATTTCATACTTCAATGTTTGAAAGGTAATAAACAATTCGTCATCACATTAAAGCTTCAATGGTAAATATTTTCTTTATTACCTTTCAAACATTGAAGTATGAAATGTCACTAATTATAACCATTGTAATTTCAGGTAGTTTGCAACAGCTGACGAGAACCTTGAAAAATAGAATGATACCATTTTTATTTCTTTCTGAGTATTTGTTAGACAATACCTTATCAGTTGATTCGTCGCTTAATTTCTTGTTGCTTATCCGTTCTGGTTGACTGTCTAACCTTTAGTATGGAGCGAAGGCAACTGTTGATGAAAGTTTGCATTAACCTCTTGCAAATGTTCTTGGTGACATGCAAGCCAAATCTGTAGATCGTATATGCCAGTTTACGCCATCTCTACCGTAGACGTGATATCCGACTATCAATCAAAGGGCGTGTGTACTGCTCATCAGTCCGCTCTATCCTCCTCTATGGCTGTGAGACCTGGCCATCAAGAGTGGAAGACATGAAAAGATTAGCTGTCTTCGATCATAGGTGTCTGCGTTATATCTCCCGCGTGAAGTGGTATAACAAGCTGAGCAATATTGAGGTTAGGCATCGGTCGAGTGCTAGGTAAGGAGGGGGAAATAAATCGACGAGGCTGTGAAATTACATCGACTGAGATGGTTAGGACATGTGTTACGTATGCATCCCTAGCCATCGCCTTCCTCGACGACAGGCAATATTAGCTGATGTAGGGTCAGGCTAGAAAAGAGATAGAGGCGGTCAAACGAAAACATGGCACCAGTCAATGAAATCTACAACAGTTAGTTTTAGCCCGCCACGTAGGAAGGTGTAGACTTCCTAACTGGTTGGTTCAGGTCCTCGGGACTGTAGAAACCAATGGTTGGAAACAATTGCTGATATGGCTCAAAAAATCGTTCTCAATGGCTGGCTGGCGCAGATGCATCCACTCCTTGTGACTTATGATTTCCAATGAAACTGTTTTGTTCTTTGTTATTACTATTCCTTTGCCTCACACCTTTGTTTACTGTCTCTAATATGCATTTCTCCTACTTTATTCTCTTGCTTTGTGTGCTACATGCAGGGAGTGTGGCGACTTGAACTACCGCACATATGTGCAAGGTTCTATGTCGAAAGCAAACAAACAAAAAGCAAAACTATAGATCGTATAGAAGCACTGAGTGATTTGACATGAGTGTTGGAAAACTCAATCTTGTTCCTCATATAAAATGCAGCAGATTTCCACACTGATTTCAGATCAATAAAGGTCTATCTTTTCTTCTCGATCCTTTCCTGGCCTTTCCATCCTTATCCGTGCCACCTTTAGTTGAAATGATGCCATCTTGATAAGTAAAAGAAGTAGTGACCTCCTTCAAATTTCTCCTGTTGATGGTGATTGATGTTTGATGCTTGTTGTTGTTAGCTACACATCTTCATCACTTCCATCTTCAATATGTTCACGTGAAGTCCTGTCTTCTCTGCTTCTGCCATCAACTTGTTGGATTTCACCTGCAAATCTCTGACTTTGTGTGACACTCCACCAACCGGAACAAGCTGAATTCAAGAAAGGCAAATCGTGTGCTGATCAAATTGCAACTCTACACACAATCATCGGACAAAGCATAGAATGGCAGTCAAACCTTTACCTCTACCTCAACTTCATCGACTTCGAAAAGTCCTTCGACAGACAGTGATGACCAAGAAGTAATTTGGAAACTGATTCAACACTACGGCGTGCAGTGCCCAAGTCTTTATCAACCTCACTCAACAGCTACATGGAAATGCTACGTGACAGTCAGGTAATCCACAATGGAAAACTTAGCGAGGCGTTCGAAGTGCATACAGGAGTAAGACAAGGCTGTCTGTTATCACCAATGATATTCGTAATTGTGGTCGACTTGATTATGCATCAGATCGTGGGCAGCGAAGAGTCAGGAATACGCTGGACGACCGATAAGAAGACTCTAGAAGATCTGGATTTCTCGCGAGGATGATATATGTCTAATTTCACACAAACTCGAAGACTTGCAGGCGAAAACCAACAAACTGCCCGAGGAGGCAGCGAAAACAGGACTGCAGGTGAGCATATAGAAGACTGAGGTGATGAAGATAACCAACAAACCGCTACAATAACAAAAATAACCAGCAAAAGTCACCACCAATGGAAGAAATTTGACAGACGTTGCCTCCTTCACTTATCTGGCCAGGAAGCATCGTTTCAACTACAGGCTGGCGGAACAGATGAAGATGTCAAAGCCAGCCAGCCAGGATCGGAAAGACAAGATACGCATTCATCAACATGAAACCAGTTTGGAAATCTTCTGCACTGCGCCTCAGCATAGACAACAAGACCCGGTATTTCAACACAGATGTGAAGTCAGTCATTCAGTTCTTCTATATGGGTTAGAAACTTGCACTGCACGTCGCGAAAGGATTCCCAACAGCCTGTTGCAGACTATTATCAACAGCTGTCCACTTCACTGGCTGGCTTTATACTGACGATCAAATGGCCAGAAAGAAAAAGTAAGAAGAAACTCTTCAGTGGAATAAACTAACAAGCAAGAGGCTCAACAAATATGTAGGAGAAAATGGAGTTGCAGTGATCGGGCATACGCCATTGAGGAAACCGTCGAGTGGCATCGGGGGCAATGCAGGCCATCAATCGAGTGGAACCCGAATGGGAACTGACGAGTGGGTCGTCCTAGGGTGACATGGGAGAGATCGTTTGAGTTGAAGGAGATGAGAGATTAGGGGCAATCGTGGCGCCAGCCAGCTGAAAACGACAGCAGAAAATAGAGGAAAGTGGAGATGTTCTGTGGTGTTGAAGCCCTTTGTTCCACTCAGAACCAAAGGGAACAATAATATTTAATAATAGTAGACATAAATTGTCGGTGAAGTTCAAATTTTCTTTTAGGCTCAATGTATCTTTGTCTCCTCGCTCCCTCTGGTCTTCCACATGATCCAGTTCACCACTATCAGAAATAACGATGGTGATAGTAGGCAGCAGTCATGTTTACTCCAGTCTATACTTCAAAGGCTTCGCTGAGTTCCCCTTTGTGAATCACTTGACATCTAGTATCATCATTAGGCTGTTGAGCATCACATTGCTTAGTGTTGAAGCAGTTTCCAAGACAATATCTAGAGCGGAATAACATGATGGTGATGCCACTCTAGACGTACTCCGAGTGGTGTGATAATGTTACATAGACTGTTACGTCTCACCTGTACATGTGACAGGTAGGTGAAACACCTGATAATTGCAGTAAAATAATGGGATGGTTACCTGACCTGGTAAACCTGTAAGCTAGAAATCCTAGATTGACTTTATTCTTTGTACTAATCCGTATGTCTGTCTGTCTTTTTTCAACATAGAACTTTGCACATATGTGCGCCAGTTCAAGTCGCCACACTCCCTGCATGTAGCACACAAAGCAAGAGAAGAAAGTAGGAGAAATGCATGATAAAAACAGTAAAAAGAGGTGTGGGACAAAGGAATAGTAATAACAAAGAACAAAACAGTTTCATTGGAAATCATGAGTCACAAGGAGTGGATTCATCTGCGCCAGCCAGCCATTGAGAACGATTTTGAGCCATGTCACCAATTGTCTCCGGCTGCCATTGGTTTTTACCGTCCCGAGGACCCGAACCAACCAGTTAGGAAGTCTACACCTTCCTACGTGGCGGGCTAAAACTAACTGTTGTAGATTTCATTGACTGGTGCCATGTTTTCGTTTGACCATCGCTAGCTCTTTTCTAGCCTGACCCTATATCAGCTAATATTGCCTGTCGTCGAGGAAGGCGATGACTAGGCATACGTAACACATGTCCTAACCATCTCAGTCGATGTAATTTCACAGTCTCGTCGACTGATTTCCCCTCCTTACCTAGAACTCGACCGATGCCTAACCTCAATATTGCTCACCTTATTATACCACTTCACGCGGGAGATAGAACACAGACACTTATGATCAAAGACAGCTAATCTTTTCATGTCTTCCACTCTTGATGGCCAGGTCTCACAGCCATAGACGAGGACGGAGCGGACTGATGAGCAGTACACACGCCCTTTGATTGATAGTCGGATATCACGTCTACGCTAGAGACGGCGTAAACTGGCATATGCAAAACTAGCCCGACCGATAGCTGCTATCTAGACGTGGTGGTCGGACTGGCATATCACAATGACCCAACGAGCTACACTGGCTGGAACTTATTTTCCTGCAGGTCCTATCATGCCAGGAAGGTTGTTTGGATAGCGGTTAGACAAAAAGCAGCTACCCAATCCAATACTATGATTCAAACAAACTCACAAAATATCATGCTGGATCGGTCGGGGCCCGGATTAACAACGACCGCGCTTCCTGCTGCCGTGTCACACGGTATAAGTGATAAATATGCTACTGAGACACACCAAACAAAAAGCAAAGAACAAACAAAAAAGCACCACTGGTTGGAATCACTTTTTTGACTCGAATTCCCACTCCACCGTTAATCATCGCTTGTTACATCATTAATAGCCTCCTGATCCAAGATTGTCTCAATTAATAGTTTCCTTTTTCCATGCTAATATCTTCAGACATCCCTGAAGCTCCCGTGCCGGGAGCTGTCATGTTAACAAAGACCAACCATTACAATCCAATACAATCAATCAACGTGGGGAATACGAATTAATTTCGACAGATGACTTACTGATACTCACTGCATTAGAGGTGGCTGTCGTGGTCCAGGGGTCCAGATGATGTCACTCTGGCATTTGGAACGATGGTTTCCCCCTCCCATTAGGCACTTTATCACATGTAACTGATGAGTCCCAAATAGGACGAAACCCACATTCTATATTCCACTGTTTGCCACTATCAGCTAAATAAACATCCTATCATACATATTTCTTTTTTGAAAAATCTATTTTTAATTTCTTTCTCCCTTTAGGTGAATGTCATCCAGATACACGATTTGACGAAGGTGAATTTGGTGATCCACTTTCAAGTGGTATTGATAAACAAACAGATCATGAAGTGAATAAGTCTTCATTATTATCAGCATCAGTATCTGTATCAGGAACATCATCATCGTCATCATCATCATCACCACCGCCTACCTCTTCATCTCCCTTCTCCAAATCATCACCCACCTCTTCGTCATCATCATCGACAGCATCTATGGCTTTCAATTCACTGAATACCTCTTATATGTCGTTGAAATTGAAACTTGCCAATTTATACAATCAATTAGTGATAGGCTTTAGACAATTTCGTCTATTGCTACGTGTTCTGTTAAGTTTAACTATTCTACCCACACCATTATTATTAATTCTCAGACTGTCTATACCAGTGATAATAATGGCTATCTCGTTGTTGATCTATCAGATAGAAACATCAAATGATGAAAAGAGTATTGAAACATCACATGGGTATGTAACAAGAGAGAATATTACTCAGAGTAGATTACACATATCGATTGCTTATCCATTAGGTGAGTGATTTCATTACTACTGATCTATATTGTTACTGTTATTATTATTATTATTATTATTACTGTAAAGTAGTTTTCATGACAAAACCCAACAAGAAACAAGGTTAGGTGAAGAAGTAACTTAGTTACTAAGCTGGATGACGTAATCTGGTCAAACTTCACTCGAGCAGTGGCTTGTCTAGTGATGTCACTTGATGGTTTGTTTTCTCAGAGTGTAGCCGCGAATCCACCTCCATTTTCTTCTGCATATTTAATGCACAATCGGTTCCTGGTTGATTTTCTCCCAGAGATCCCTGTTACTGATGTTTTCTAGCCGGCCATCTGATCTTGAGCAAAGTATTGAGCAGAGACAGCTGTTGATGAAGGTCTGTAGTTTGTTTGAGGTGCTCTTTATGACGCGCAGTGCAAGTCTCTGATCCGTATAGTAGCACTGACTTCACATTGGAGTTGAAAATCCCGATCTTATATTTCATGCTGAGTAGTACTGTTGACCTCCACATACAGACTTGAGAGTAATAAAAGCTTGCCTTGCTTTCCCAATCGTCGCTTTGATGTCCTCATCAGTTCTGTCTACCTGTAGCTGAAACGATGTGTCCCAGGTGGGTAGGTGAAGGAGGTTGCTTCTTTAAGATTCCTCCCATTTATGCTGATTGTTGTCTGTTGTTGTTGTTGTCCAGGAATCTTCATCACCTCTGTTTTCTCTATGTTCACTTGAAGTCCTATCTTTTTATGCTTCTTCTGCCAACTTGTTCCTTTCCACTTGCATATCTTCAAGTTTGTAGGTAACTATTAACTGTTAGGTGTGTGTTAACTCCCAGCTAGACTGTACTAAGATGAATAGCTTTCTATCAGGAGTCGTCAGCAAATGGTCTTCGTCTAATGGTCGGTCTTAAAGTAAATCCTTCCAAATGTCAGACAGTTAATTTCAGTCTCCGATGTAAAAGAAAGTTAAATGACGAAGCTGTTAGTTCCTATGACCCCTGCAAAATTGATGACAGTGATGATATAGAAATCCAGTATGAAGTTAAGTATCTTAGATTAATTCTTTCTACTGATCTATTCTAGTCTTCCAAGACGTCTTAGCGATTTATAAAAGAATATTTCGTCTGACATTTTACATTGAGAAGTTAAGGCACTCAGGCATAACTCAACCAAATTCTCCTCCTCTTACAGTTTGTAAACTCGTGCATCTTACCTATCCTTCTTCTTTACTGTTCACCCTTATTCTTTCCTGGATTGCTTAAAAAAGACTATGTCATACTTTGTAGAACTCAGCAGACTATCAGTAGGATGAGTGGTGGTATCCTATTGGGCTATATCGTTGACATTGTCATTGATGACGGGCACTTGATTTCATGCAACGAATTTGCTAAAGGAATTACTATTATTAAGTCAATGCATGAACTGGTGCAGCAATATCTTCTTGTCTATCACAAGCAGAATACTAAGTCGCATCATCCTGGAGAGAATCAAACATGCCGACCTGGATGAAAAACTTCGACCAGAAGAAAAACAAGTCATGCATCGATCAAATCGCGACACTGCGGATCATCATTGAACAGAGCTTGGAATGGCAGTAAGCTTTCTACTTCACTCAACTTCATCGAGTTTGAAAAGGCCTTCGATAGCTCAGCGTCGATTGAGAGGTGACTTGGAGAATACTTGGCTACTACATGTTGGCAATAACAATTATACATCTCATCCAAAAGTTGTACGACAATGCTGCATGCCAAGTAATCCACAGCAGGAAACTCACGCAATCCTTCGAAGAAGTGAAGACGGGAGTGAGACAAGAAAGGCTGGCTGCGTACTATCTCCAATGATTTTCCTGATTGTGGTAGACTGGATAATGCGAACGACAGCGGCGGGCAACGAGAAGACAGGCATAAAATGGATCCACACGTAAAACAACTTGGAGGATCTGAACTTTGCCGACGTGATAAATGTCTGATTTCCCACAAACTGGACGATATGCAAGTGAAAAGCAACAAGTTGGTGATAGAAGAAGCATCAAAGATAGGACTTCAGGTGGACACAGAAAAAACAGAGATGATGATGATGATGAAGGTTCCTGGCCAACACCACCACCACCAACAACAACAGACAACAATCAGCATAAATGGGAGGAATCTTAAATAAGCAATCTCTTTTACCTACCTACCTGGGAAGTGTCGTTTCAACTACAGGCTGACGGAACTGATGAGGACATCAAAGCGACGATTGGGAAAGCAAGGCAAGCTTTTATTACTCTCAAGTCTGTATGTGGAGGTCAACAGTACTACTCCAATGTGAAGTCAGTGTTACTATACGGATCAGAGACTTGGATCCATGCCACGTCACTAAGGGTACTTCGAACAAACTGCATACTTTCATCAACAGCTGTCTTCGCTCAATAGTACTCAAGTTCAGATGGCCGGCCAGAAAAGATCTGCAACAGGGAAAGATCTGTGGGAGCGAATCAGCCAGGAACCGATTGTGCATTAAATATGCCTGAGGAAATGTTGGTAGATTGACGGCCATACTCTGAGAAAACAAACCATCAAGTGACATCACATGCCAGACCATTGCTCAAGTGGAAGCCGGAAGAGAAGTGGCGAATTGGTCATCAGTGTGAGGGTGACATGGAGGATGTCATGTGAAGAGGGGATGAGATCATGTAGGCAAACGTGAAGCCAAATGAAATCGTTGGCGGAGAACTGAACGCGCGATGGAGACGTGCGACTGAATCCCTATGTTCCTCTAGGAACTATAGGAAACAATAATAATTATTATTATTATAACGTAGTAATCATGACAAAATCCAACGAGAAACATGGTTAGATGGAGAAGTAACTAAGCTGGAAGGCGTATCCTGGTCACACTTAGGTAGCTGATTGCAATTGTGGCTCAGTGGTGGTGGAATCTTCGCCAACCATGCAATTGGTCGAGGGTTCGGTTCCCGACTAACGACTCACTCTTAACTCTTGCCAGCTTGTTGATAGTAGGCCAGGAAATGAGGGGAAGGTTGGACATCGGGCTAACAAGCCCACCATTGTACAAAACAACGTCACTGCTAATGAAACTTCAAGACTGAAACCCTGTATTCTACCTGGAATGAAAGAAAGTCGTAAGCTGTTGGTTTGTTGATGAGTATGTTGCCTTCGGTAATCGTTTTACTGTGAGCAAATGAATTCACTTCAGCAGAAATCTCTGAATTTTGTGGAATGCCGACCACTCCTGTCAAATGTAAGATGATACTATAGGACCAGGTCTTACCGATTTTTAACCTAAAGAGCGCAAATAAAATGGTAGAGCGTGTTGATCACTTCACTTATTTGGGAAGTTCTGTCAACCCCAACAGACCGATGATAGACGAAATTTTAGCATGGTTACAAAAGACTCGTGTGGCATTTACCAATTTATGTCATCTCTGGAGTAGATGTGGTATCCGCCTATTGAGCAAAGGACGTGTGTAAAGTGCAGAAGTTAACCCCGTCCTCTTTTATAGCTGTGAGACATGACCACTAAAAGTAGAAGATATGAAGAGGCCAGCTGTCTTTGACCACAGATGTTTGCGTTCACTCTCACGTGTTAAGTAGTATAATATGGTGAGTAATATTGAGGTTAGGTGTAGACTGTTCAGTAAGGGAGGAAAGTCAGATACTGAAGTTATCAAGCTACATCGATTTAGATGACTAAGACTTATGCTATGCATGCCTAACCATTGCCTTCTTCAATGGCCAGGATTTGATTTAAAAGGAGTTAGGGGTAGTCAAGCTAAAACATGTCTTTATCAGTTCATAAAATTTTTAGCATTTAGTATAAACCAGCCACATAGGAAGGCGTAGGTAGAGTGCCTAGTTGGATTCCCTGAATGTTAAGAACGAATAGCTGCAGACTTTCGGTGATGTAGCTGAAAATCATCCTCAGTGGAGCAGATGCATTCATTCGTTGTAATTTCCCTCATGGGTGTGAAGCTAGCAACCCCACCACGTAAGTAAACAACACCACAGCTACTAAATCTTCAAGCCTGAAGTCGGGACTCAAAAGGAATGAAGAAAATGTGAATAGGAAGATTTTGAACAAACCACGCGAAGTGTATTTTGAGTAAGTGTTATGAACTTCTCGCCAATTGATAAAACTGAGTGGACTTACACGAGTGTATAATAACAGTGATGCAGTGGAAAAATAAACCCATTCGTCCGTGGTACCTTCTGCTTCACTGATCCACATGTAGATATCAAAAGACAAAGACTGACACCTCTGGCTGTTAGGTTACAAATTTATTAAGAGATAGCATGTGACATATATAAATTTTAAACATATTAGGTCAATGGAAAATAAATTGTTGTGATTGGTTGGCAATTTGACCAAGGCCAAGATGAGAAAAAGATGATGAAATTTTACAGTCATCTGATGGTAAGAGGAATTCTGCAACCGTTGGTTTAAAATATTGATTACTATTTTAGCGACAACCTATCAGCGAGATAGAGAAGACGGAGTTGATGAAGATAACCAACCAACCAACAACAACAACCAGCATCAATCCCTATCAAAGGGAGAGATTTAACACAGGTTACTTACTTCACTTATCTAGCCAGGAAGCATGATTTCAACTACAGACAGCAGAACGATGAATATGTCGAAGCCATCCAGGCAGCCAGAATTGGAAAGGCAAGATACGCCTTTATCAACCTGAAATCAGTCTGGAAATCTTCTGCACTCCGCCCCAGCATAAAGAACAAGATTCATATCTTCAACACACATGTGAAGTCAGTCGGTCAGTTCTTCTATACGGGTCAAAAACTTGCACTGCGTGTCATGAAAAGGATTTCCAACAGCCTGTTGAAGACTTTTATCAACATCTGCCTACTTCACTGGCTGGCTCCATACTGAAGGTCAGATGACCAGAAAGAATTAGCAGCAAGAAGCCCTTGGAGGTGACGAACCAACCGAGAGCCAACTGCTCAACAAATATGTCGAAGAAAATGTAGATGGATTGGTCGGACGTAGATCATTGAGGAGACCGTCGAGTGACATCGCGCGCAGTGCATGCCAGTGATCGAGTGGAATCCAAATGGGAAGTGACGAGTAGGTCGTCCTAGGGTCACATGGAAGATGTCGTGTGAGGAAGAGACGAGAGATTTTGGGCAATCCTGGTGCCAGCCATCTGAAGAGGACAGCTGAAAATAGAGGAAAGTGGAGATGTTCTGTGTTGTTGAAACCTTGTGTTCCACTCGTAATCCAAGAGAATAATAATAATACTATTATTAATAATCAGCAAGATAATACGAGATCATCGTTTTATTCAAATTATACGTTTCGTAGGGGCTTTGATATATTTTAGAGTAGATTTTGTCAGACAAAGAATCTTTGAAAACCAAGGAGTACTGGACAGCAAATTATTTCGTTGAGTTATTTTTTTCCACTGCATACTAACTTACAAAACATTTACATACTTTAATTCTTTCTCACTACTTTCACACGATGTGAGTGTTCCTCACAGAAGTGAAAGGGCGAATAAGAAAGTCTGGCATGTACAGCCGGACTGGTGAACCTCCTGATCTACTTGGTAAAAGGGAAAACCCTGATTCCAAACCCATGGTGGTGTACATGAGCTGCAGAATCCGAGCGGATCGAATGGTATCTAAATCTGTTTCAGTCACTGTCACCAATGAGAATGCAGTTCCTGACGCTGAGAGCTTGGGTGAAGGAGCGGCCCCACAAGACAAATACCTGCCTAACTATTTACTTCATTACCTTGAAATCGGTGTGGAGATGTACAACACTCAACGCAAGGGATAACAGGACCAGATTTTTTGTCAAATTATTACCAAGCCAATGCTTCTTCATGGTACACAGACTTGGTGTGTTCGTCACCAAAAGTATTTTCAATCGCCTGTTACAGATTTTCATCAACAGTCGACTTCGCTTCATCCTGAAGATCAGATGACCTAAAAAGCTCTGGTAACAAGGAACTCTGACAGGCGGCGAACTTACCAAAAACCTATTGCTCAACAGATATGTAAAAGGTAATGGAGATGAATTGGACGTATATTGAGAAGAACGTTTAGTGATGTGCCAGGCCCTTGAGTGAGACCAGAATGGTAAGTGACGAGTTAAACCTTGGTCATCTGAAAAAGAAATGAAAGATTATGGGCAGTCAGTGAGGCAGTTAAAAAGTAACCCCAAAGAACCGAATGCATTGGAGATGTGTACCATTGTTGCCCTATGTTCCATTCGAGACGCGACGCGAGGAATAAAGCTTGAATCTGTTTTTTCTTTGAAACTTCTTGTCTCTCTATATATATTTAATTTGCGGATGGCGACTAGCACTGGAATCCAGGATACGCATTTCGTCCTGTTTGGGACTCGTCACTGGATGTACCTGCATTTCCCAGTGAGTGATGATGTTCCCACCAAGCCTCGAACCCAGTTCTCTTGGTTTCAAACTCCAAAGCGTTACCCACCAAACCACTTCGGTCCAATCAATCGACGGGAAAATCTCAAATTCAATTAAATAATTAATATGACCCGTTGCACAAGAGGTGGCCAGCTCTCATGGCCCAAGTGGTCTAGTGGATAACACTTTGGCGTTTGAGACTATGGGCACTGGGTTCGAGCCTCTGTGCTGGCAACATCATCACTCACTGGGAAATGCAGGTACATCCAGCTGACGAGTCCCAAATAGGACGAAATGCGAATCCTGGCTTGATTCCACTGCTAGTCACCATCCACAAATTAAATTATAATTAAATGCCCAGACATCATCGAAGCATCTGCACAAGAAGCCAACATGTCAACCTGAGACGGAGTACTTCGATCCAATCAATCGACGGGAAAATCTAAAATTCAATTAAAGCTCCATATATATTCCTACATTTTATTCCATTTGTAATTTTCAGAATCAGATGGTCATCCTTCATCGAAATGGGATGAATCACGCTTCCTGCATGACTTATTATGCATGAAACCACAAATGGGTTATCGTGAACCATATGTTAAATTTCTACCATTTATTAAGTCTACATCATCTAGTGGATTAAGTGTTGATTCCACAGACACATCACAAGATTATGATCTATACGGTTCAGTTCGAATGGATATAGATGAATGGGTGAGTTAATTTCTAATTTCAAGTTAATGTATGTGTGTGTTTGTGTGATGAAAATAGCCGATTTTTGCAAACTTATTAAATTAACCTCTACTTCATGTTGAGTCGTAATCATTCTACTTAGATTTTCAAAAGAATGGTTACTGAACAAAGAATACTCTTTTCGATAACCCCTTCATCGTCAGGTTCTACAATTATGCGTATAAATTACATTAGTAGGAGCTGACTGGGTTTGCTTCTTTTGCACACAAAGCACTGGTTGTTTCACGCGAATCGCCATAGCCTCTACTGTTTGGAGCATGCAGTACCTCGATGTTTTTGGAAATTTATTTGGCACCCGGTAGATGATAGAGAAGCATTCTTCAATGTTGGCTTTGTGGCTGGTTTGGACCACACCTTTACCTAGCCATACTGGGAGATGTTCTCGAGCGAGCACGAAAAATCAAGTTCCTAGAGCAACAGCCAATATAAATCGCTCCGAGACAAGCGCAGTTGAATTTGTAGATGCAGTTAGAGGTGGCTAGTCTAGGTACTTCATCTTTCAGTCGAGAAAATCACCATCGGTCGTGTACAGAATAAGACTTGAAGTTCACCAGCATCAAAAGTTCTTCGAACTGATTTTCTTAACTTCTTGGTAATTATTTTGCTTGGTATATTGCCCCCAGATTTGTTAATTGACTTTTAATTCCCGGCAATGTACTGCGGATTGAAGTAAATAATTGGAAACCACTCACTTATAGCAGTGGTGCTTTGATCGGACACTAGCCAGTAACTAGTGTGATGTGTGTCTAGTCCTTTTTGTTTGCTGCAGACTGAATATTATCAGTCAGGTTTACCATGTGGCCACTATGCCACTAGGTGGCTCGCCATCACGGTGCAAATTGATCTGATGATATTAGATAGTTGGAGGCAGTCATCAGAAAGCCTTCGACCTAGGTTTTGTGCTAGTTGGCACTCGTCAGCAAGGCTCATCTGCAACTTGAAGGAACTCATGTCTGCACCAAAGAAAGGACTAGACACATTACATTAGTTACTAGTGTCCCATCGAAAATATCCAGTACACTCCTACAAGAGGTGAATCGCAAGCCCGAATTGGCTAGCTCAGTGGTAACGTCTCTGATTGCAGCACTGGCTGGTGACACAGGTTTGAATGTCAGAAGGGACATGAATTCTTTCAAGGTGATTGCACAGACGCCTTGTTGACTGACTGGTAAGTACCAGCTAGCACGAAACCTAGGTCAGGGGGGGGCTTCTTGCCAATTGCCTCCAACCATCTAATATCATCAAGACAGTAGTGATTGTTAGATGAGTGGAGGAAATTAGCAGGAAGCCTTACACCTAGATTTCGTGTTTGTTAGCTGTCACACTAATTACTGAAGTTGTCTAAATAAGTAGTTAGGAATGGAAAAATCAAAGTTATCGAATACCTAATTGAGTCGATGGTTCAGCGGTAAGGTGCTCGCCGACGGCTCATGTGGTCCGAGGGTCGATTCCCAGCCGACGCACTCTTAAACCTCACTTAGACGATAGTAAGTTTGGTAAAGAGGAAAGGTTGGGTTAGGTGAGGCTAGCAACCTCACTCCATAAAAATGCAAATACTGCTACTGAAACTTCAAAGCTTGAAGCTCTGTGTCCCTAGGAATAAAATAATAATTATTATTAAATACTGAAAATACTACTCATTACTTGACTTTTAGTAGTATAAATCTGAAGAAGTGAAAATATACAAGAAGTGGGGATTTTGACCACATGATTGTAATTGAAAAGAATTTTCAACAGTGGATTTATAAGCATAAATCTATTTCTCAATATGTAAACTATTTCACAATCCAGGAATTCAGGATGCGCATTTCGTCCTATTAGTGACTCGTCGACTGGATGTACCTGCATTTCCCAGCAAGTGATGATGTTACCACCGAGGCTCGAACCCAGTGCTCATAATTTCAAATGCCAAAGCGTTATCCACTAGACCACTTGGGCCAGGAGAGCCATGAGAGCGCATCCTGGATCCCACTGCTAATCACCACCCACCAATTAAATTCTAATTAAATGTCCTGACATCGTCGAACCATCTGCATAAGAAGCCGACATGTCAACCTAAGACCTAGCAGCACTTCGGTTCAATCAATCGACGGGAAAATCTAAAATTCAATTAAAATATTTCACAATCTACAATTTACATAATTCGAAGTTAAATTTTCTTTGGAAACTGAAATTCTTCAGATAACAAACAGTATTTAATCTGCTTGATAATACCGGAAAGGGCATTCAAGAAAGCAAACAAAAGTGTATGCTCCAGTGTACTACTGATTGACTAGTATGAGTAGTAAGATCCCACACTGATATCTACCAGTAGTGCCTGTTAGCCATATCACAGTGATCTAAAGTCTGGAGCGCTATTTGGCGGCTCTGTAAGATGAGTAGATCTTAGGACACTGGTAATAAGCTCGGTTTCAAGCGAACGGAATGATCATTCACTGTTTAGATCACTTCGATCTGATTGACTGGCAAGCACTTCTGGTTGATGATGTAAGTAGTATACAACTACTCATGTCAATCAATTAATCAATCAGTCGATCAGTTAGTTGTATATGGTGTGATGGATTTATAAATGTCTTTATCAACTTTTAATTCTTTAGCATAATGCTAATTGATTGGCTGTAACAAGTTACAGAAATTTTGTCTAACTGTGTTTTCCGTTTTCTTTTGCCCTTCACAAACTCAACCAAACCCCCCCCACACACACATACACAGAATGCTGATAACTCGAAAGTCACTCTGATTCTTGGTAAAAAGGATTATGACAATGCAGCTCAAATTATTCTATATCATTTTACTCTATGGAATTGTATGCACTTACGTAATCTCAAAGAACAAAATAAAGAGAATTCATTGGTAAGTGATACTTGTATTTTTCCAGTCTTGGTTTGTAGGGATATTCAGTGAAGAGACTGTCTCCAACAACGAATTTATTTTCAGGCTGTGCAGTCGTATATATGTATATATATGGGTTTTTTGTAAGAAATTATATCTGGTGAGGGAATTAGATCAAAGATGTGAATACATGAAATAATAATAGTAGTATAAAATGCAATTAAAATATTTGTGATCATAATCATAGTTAAATGTCAAGTAGCAAAACAATTAGTGTCATATATAGAATAATTCATAAGGTGTAGACATGTTGGAAATGGGGGTGTATAATTACAGGGTTAGTAGACAATCAGATCAGATTCCTTTTCTATGATGAATTACAGAGAACGCTTTCCACACGGATACGAGAACATTTTCCAGCAGCATAGTTTTACCAGGGAGAAAGGAAGAGTGTGCGAAGCTCTATTTTGGAACACCTGATCGACTTCTGTCACTCTGTCAACCCTGACCATGATTTTAAGATACTATGTAGAATCCATGCTAACTTCCCGCGATTTCTTCGTTACAGACTTCTGAAGACAGTGGAGGCCTTTGCCATTCATGAATTTAAGCCCACCAGACCTTTGTGTACAAAAGAAGTATGTACAGTCCCTACTTTTGCCCTGGCTGTAGAGGGATAGCCATTTATCTATTTATGTATTTTGTTTATTTAGTTATTCTATGGACCTTTCCCGCATTACTACGGTTATTATTATTATTCTCACTCTGAATTGTTTCCACTTGTCCCACTTGTCATTCTAAATCCAAAAAATGTTTTCACAATATTGAATTCTATCTTATCGAATTTCACACCACGTTATGTGACGTTTTATATTAGCCTGCTAACCCTATAGTTATGCACCCCCACTTCCAGCATATATGCGTCTCATGAATTGTTCTATATATGACACTAATTGTTTTGCCACTTCACATTTAACTATTATTATAATCACAAATATTTTAATTGCATTTCATACTACTACTATTATTATTATTTCATGTATTCACACCTGTGATTCCATCCAATTCCCACACCGGATATAATTTCTTAAAAATACCCCATATATATGTGTATACGATTGTACAGCTTGATGATAAATTCGTTGTTGGAAAAAGTCTCTTCGTTGAATATTGCGTTCTTAATGCTAAAATGGGAATTATTAAATTACAATAACAGTTGACTTAATCAAAAAAGAGAATACACATTGAATAAACAAAACGGAAAGTCTGTAGAGCCAAAATATGATTAGGGATTAGCATACTTTAGCATAGAGGGATTAAGACCATGAAAGTTGGAGGGGAGGGGTTGAACGAACTTTTTCTGTACACAGAGATCTGGCTTTTCTGTTTCGATGACCAATGCTCCTTCAGCAATACAGATGAGTCGGGTACATAGGGATTTGGGTAAATTACGTTTCGCTTTGTAGATGACTTTAAAGACGGAGGCTGTAGAGCTAGGGTGATCATTATCGACCAGATGTTCGATGATCACGCTTCTTATTACTCCACTTCCACCTCTTCATAACTACCATGTAGGATAGTGTTCTTGCACCCTCTTGAGCTAAACCCGGGACGCACCACCGATATACCTAGCTCCACACGAGCAGGGGAACACACACACAGTCGGTCAACTACGGGATCACTCACTGGTTAGTAATACTTGTATTTTAAAGTCTTGGTTTGTAGGCATATGACTGACTACAAGATAGACTTCACAAAATGACTTCATCTATTAGGGAACCACTGAAAAAAAAGTTGGGAGTACTGGACCCTTAAAATTACATATCTTCCAGTCAATGAAAGGATCAACGAACTCGCCTCACGTAACCTGAAGGTACTCGGTGTGAGGCTTCGTGGGATCATGAGTGCGTACTGCTGAAAAGTCACAGGCTGAGACGAAACATATGTCTAGTAACCCCTGGTTTTCAGTGGTTCTTGAAGTAAAGTCACTTCGTGATCAATCTTAAAATACTTGTATTTATTTTGTTGAACTTAGCTGGACAGAGTTTTGTCTGTTTAGTCAGTCTTTTTCAATGATATTGTCTCTGTGGAATAAGAACCAATCATCGGTCGCTTTATAACAGCCAAGAGAATCATCACTAGCCTGGTGTTTTAGTTAATATGATCACCAATATCTGTTACACAAAAGGTATCTGTTGAAATTCAGCAGTTTTAATAGTAATATTTTGCAGATTTCAAGCAATATAGGTACTGAAGTTGAGAGTTACTGGAAGCACTAGACCCAATAAGAAGACGACAGTGTGTCCAAATGATAAGTTTCTTTTGAAGAGTCAGTTACAGGGTCCACTACTTACTGTAGGAAGCCATGACCAGTAGGGTACAGCAGGCTGAAAGTGAGGCAGTAACTTACCAAAGAAGACATTGCTTAGTGGCCGCGCTATGTCATGAATTGGTGGAAGTTGGAATTCATGGTCTGGTCATTGAATTGGGTCCCAGTGGCTTAATGGTCAACAAGCTCGCTAGCCTTGTAACCAGAAGGTCCCGGGTTCAGATCTCGCGACGTGGGTGCGTACCGCTGAGGAGTCTCAAACTGGACTGACGAAACAGCTGACTTTCCAGTACTCCTTACTGGTTTTCCAATAATTCTCTAACTCATTTCAGCTTATTCAAATTCATTGTAGGGGAATAATTGTGTGTGTGTGCGTGTGTGAAGCTTCTTATATTAAGTATCTTCCTTTAAATATTTACCGACTTCTTTTCATATTTTATTTCCTTTTATCATTCACAAAACAAACTCAAATGTAGTTTCATGAGAATGGTGGAAATGTTCCATTAATTGGTGAATTTATATCATGGCCAGAACAATGGCCAGAAATACATCCACAGTTATCAATGGCTAGTGCATGTATTTATCTGGTTTCATGCAGTGTAGCTACATGTGCTCTAAGTCCATTAATAGCTAGTGATATTGTACGTGATAAAGAGGTGAGTTAGTCGTGTGTTATCGTAATATTTTATTTGTTGATTTATTGATTTATGTATTACTTTATCACTTTATATCGTTTGTTTAAAGTTTCTAATATTCACCTAGACTATGACTTGACAGGTAAATGTGGTATCTAACCCCACAGACTGAGAATGTTTGAGATAATCTTCGATTGACTGATGTTGTAGTAAGAGGGATGATTGAAAATAGGATGAAAATCTCGTAGGTTAGCTAGTACAATGCAAAACAGGTAATTCATAGGTCTCCGATTCTAATCCTGCTGCGGAACAGATTTTATTTCACCTTTTTACTAAGGTCTCTTTTTAGTTGCTTATAAGTTTTCATTTTCTCCTCGCCCGATTTCCTCCATATCAGCCTCGAGGCCACGTCCAACTCATCTTTACTTATTTGGACTCCATGCTTCGTCAGTTTGTCAGCTCATCACTTCGCTCCATCCTGCTTTATGGTTGTGAGTGAGACATGATCATCGAAAGTGGAAGACATGAAAAGGCTGGCTGGCTAGCTAGCTGTCTTTGATCATAGGTGTCTGCGCTGTGTCTACATCCTGTGTTAATTGGTGTAATAAGGTGAGTAATATTGAAGTTAGGCGTAGAGTGCTAGGTAGGTGGGTGAAGTTACACCGATTGAGAGAGATGGTTAGGACATGTGTTACGCATGCCTAGCCATCGCCTCCCTCAACAACGGGCAATTTTAGCTGACATAGGATGGATCAGGTTGGAAAAGAGCTAGTGGTGGTCAAACCAAAACATGGAATCAGTTGGTGGAATCTTTGACAATGAGATTGTACCAGACACATAGGAAGGTGTAGACTTCCTGGTTGGGATCCTTGGGACTGTAAAACCCAATGGCTGGAGACAATTGTTGATATGGCTCAAAATCTTTCTCGGTGGTCGCTGGTGCAGAGATATTCACTCCTTGTGCTTTGTCATATTATCCAATTAAACTCTATTGTTCTTCCATAATACCATTCTTTTTGTCTCATAATTCTGTTTACTATCTCTCTCTCTTCAATCTCTCTTTACTCTCTTCCCTTCCTTTGTATGGTACATGGAGAGTGTCAGGTTGAACTGCTGCTCATTTGTAAAAAGTTCTGTCTTGAGACCAATCAGTCAGTCCCGTCTACTTAAACGACAACACACAATAGTGTGAGATTGAAGGTCTATCTATCAGTATTAGTAATGGTACATTTTCAAAAGGATATATATATATATATATATGCATGACCAGTGACGTAGGCGTGAGAGGAAATATCCATAAAAGGATGTACCAGACTTACCTTGATCATCGTACCACTATAAAAAGATAATTTTTTTATCGCTGTACACAATAATTATCTAAATCAATATGATTTCGCAGCCTTACAGACTAACTTTCTCTTCTCACCTAACACCCTATAGATACGTATTCTAGAGTCTATTATATTTCACGATGATGATTCAGTTTAAGTTAACACAGTTCATATATACACAGATAATGTATTGAAGTATGCGCTGAAGATGTCGCTTAGTAGGTTGAATTACTTCTCGGTCAATGAAGTCGATAAAGTTAAGATACAGATTTGGCTGCCATTCTATGCTTTGTTCTGTGATGATGATGCGGAGAGTTGCAATCTGATCACCACATAATTTTCCTTCCTTGAATCCAGCTTGTTCCGGCTGGTGGAGTTCTGCATCCAGTGCATCTTTTATTCTCGCTAGGATGACGCAACTTAGTATTTTACTTGGTGTGAACAAGAGCATTATTCCACGCCAGTTATTGCAGGGGCCTAAGTCGCCTTTCTTTGGCAGCTTGACGAGGTAGTCTTTCTTCCAATCGGTAGAGACCTTTCCTTCCTTCTAAACCTTTTGCACTAATGGCGTGAGGACATCTGCTGCATCCGTTGAGAGCCATTCTTTGTCGTATCTCTTCTTTCTTCTTAGAACAGTTGTACGCGTTTCCTTGAACATCATCTTCATAGAGTTCCAATGTTCTGCCACGCAGGTTTCCTCAGTGATGCCACGTAGCGTTTCCGACTTCGCTCTGATTTCATCTGTAGTGAAGGCATCCCTCGTGGTTTTCTCCTCCAGTTTCTGAGTGTTGAACTTGAACTGTGGCCTGTCTCCAGTTGTTTTCAAGGATTTCAACTTCACATTGAAGGTTCCTGGAACTAGATAATGGTGTGAGTGAGCCCACATCTGCTCCCCTTCTCGATATTGTGTCCAACAGGCTGGCTTCATCTCCGCTTCCTTGAGCAGCATTAAGATGAAGTCTATCTGGTTTGTGGTGTGTCCATCAGGCGAAATCCATGTTACTTGGAGTATATCCTTGTGTTTGTACACACTGCCTCCTACTACTAAATCATTGAGAATGAAGAAGTCTCCTACCGAGAGCCTCTCGACCCATGATGAGTTCTATTCCTGTATTATCAGGTCCCAGTTTGACTTTCATATCACCCATGAGGATTTTAATGTCACCATTTGGGGTGCTGTCTATTACTGTTTGGAGTTGTCTGTAAAAATCCCCTTTTTTTTCTTGTCCTGCGTTATTTGTAGGTGCGTAGTATTGGATAATTGTGACCTTCCTTCCTTTGGAATTGAATCCTGCTTTCATGATCCTGGATGATATTGGTTCTCACTGCATTGTGGCTTTGGCTGCCACGGGTGACATTATGGTAAGCACTCAGTGCCTCAGTGTGCTCATGGTTGTCGTTCGGGTGACCAGACCAGAGTAGATTACTGACTCTCCAGTTGACAACTTGGGTAATCCACATCCGTTCCATCTGCATTCGCAGATACCCAGCACTTGTATGCCATATCTTCGCATTTCGTTGGCTACCTGGGCAGCCTTCCCAGCCAATTGCGCACATTTTACGAACATTCCACGTCCCCATTCTTATTCTTGCTTTCATCTAGAGAAGACACATCGGTTGGCTAACTGGCTTCCTGAAGGCTTTCACCAGCTCTCTGTGTCATCTGGCCTCTGTGATTCCAGCTAAAAATAAGTTCTAGATAGCTGGAGGCAATCGGCCACAGGAAGCCTTGGACCTAGGTTTCGTGCTAGTCGGCACTCATCAGCAGGGCGTATCTGCAGCCTTGAAGGAACTCATATCCCTTATGAGATTCGAACCCGCGTCACCCAGTGTTGCAGTCAGAGACGTTACCACTGACCTCCTGTAGGACTGTAGTGGGTATTTTGATTGGACACTAGTAACTAGTGTGATGTCTGGCTAGTCCTTTCTTTGGTACAGACTGAATTCTATCAATCAGGTTTGCAATGTGGCCACCATACCACTAGGTGGTACACCATCACAGTGCAAATTGATATGACTCCTGCCGATTACCTCCAACCATCTGATATCATCAAATAACCCAATCTCTTTTGACAATTTCTAAAATATCTTCTACACTTTTAGTTAGTTAGCTCACTAACTATTTTCTCATTTGAGTTGACTAAACCATCTACTACCGCATTCAGGTTTGAACAAGTATAATAGAGATTAAAGCGTATGCCTCTATGTGAGACATGCTCATTACCTGTCATATTCTAATTGTATGACACGGTTTTATAAGGTCAGAATTTATTATTATTATTATTATGCCACTCATTTCATCTTATAATCTGTGTCTAATATTACGTGAATTTGGAAATTGAAAGAAAAATATCGATTCATTATCTTCTTCTTCTTATTCCTTCACGTTCCCAGTGGAGCATAGGGCTTCAAGCTGGAGGCCTGAAGTTTCTGTAGCAGTGTTTATTTTTACAGGATAGGGTTGCTAGCCTCATGCCCAACCTTTCCTCTTCGCCAGCTTTTTAGTTCTGGCTTAGCGAGGTAAAGGCTCATTATACCTGATTTAAAATAATCCTAGCGTGTCGAAGAAAAAAAATCAAAACAAGATTTTAGGCCTAAAAGACAGAACACAGTTATCCGTAGAAGACATAATAAAAGGGGGAGAATTCTGTCTGACAACAACATATTTCACATTCGAAGGGAAAATATACCAACAAAATGAAGGAGGAGTAGCCATGGGATCGCCTGTCTCACCAACAATAGCTGACATATTCATAGATTATTGGGAAGACAATGCCCTTAAACCATTCAGGTCATCACTGAAATGTAGGTGGAGATGTGTAGACGAGACACTAGTAATAGTAAAAAAAATGATATTGAGAAACTCTTCTCACACATAAACAGCCATGTCGACTCAATAAAATTCACTATGGAAGTAGAGAATGAAATTGGGGAACTGCCTATGTTAGACTTCAAAATACAAAGAATAATAGATGGTAGCATTAAAATGACGCTATATAGGAAAACCGCACACTCTGGAAGATTCCTTGATTATCACTCAGCTCACCACTCACGGTAAAACGAGGATTAATACAAGGTCTTGCAGATAGAATACGTAGACTTACAACAACGCCAGAGGACCAGTGTAAAGAAATAAACGTCGTATTCAAAATGCTACTCGAAAACAACTACCCAAAAGAATTTATAAAAGATAATATAAAAAAGAAAAAAAAGAGTGTAAAACCGGAGAAAAACAAGATGGAAGAATGCAAAAAAACAGTCACAATACCATATAAAAATGGTACATCAGAGGCAATTCAAAGAAACCTCAAAAATATCGGCATTCACACAACTTTTAAACCGATAAATCTAATCAAAAATAAAACAAATCAACTGAAAAATGCAATAAACATGATGGATAAAAACAACTTGATTTACAAAATATCTTGTGCCGACTGTCCGACTAAATATGTGGGGCAAACGTCCAGATCACTGAAAATAAGACTGAATGAACATAAACGCCTAACCAAAGGTCAACCAACAGGAACACAAGCCTACAAGAATCTTGAAAAAAATTCATCGATAACTGCACCTGCATGGGACAAAAACCACAATATTGATTGGAACAATGTGTGTATTCTAAAAACTAACATGAACAAATGGAAAGAAAGACTTATAACAGAATCGATATTCATTCACACCGGATGCGTG